GGTTACTGACGGAACCGGGTGGGCGGGGCCCTCAGAGGGCTCCTGGGACCTACCCGTAAGGATGGGGATTGTAGTGCTGGAGGAGGTTGGTCATGCCGGGAGGAGACTGGGCTTGCAGGCCATGCTCCTGCAGGAAGGTGCACAAAATGAGGTTCCTGGGAAGGGACATTTCTTCTCTAGAGGGAAAAAAAAAGAGATACACAGACTGACTGATGCCCAGAACCATGCGATCGGGGGTCTCAGTCACCTCACCTCTATCCCGCCCACTCTGTCTCAGCTAAAGCTATCATCAGCCTTCCCCCACCAGCTCCCCCAGACTCGAATCCTGCAGCATGCTGGCTACGTGCCCCTAGGCAAGTCACCCTGCCTCTGTTCTCCGTCATACATCTTGCAAGTCAGGGATCTCGAGGTGACTTCTCTTGGTGAAAAAAAGAATCAGGATACATAGAAGAAAGGCTCTAATACTGGCCCTCAAAAGACCAGTAAACCCAGGTGTGTGTTGTCAAAACAGTGCACTAAGGCTGGGCCCCACCAGGAGGACAATTCCGTGGTGCCGCCTGCTGCCCACGCCTGCTATTTCCCTTGAGCAGGCGAAGCAAACGAAGGCAATGAGGAGAAGTCACCACCCACAATCCCAGTTCCTGGAGGGAGGCCGCCAGCCTTCCCGTCTCTGCTTCTAAGCACATATGGACACCACACACACACACACACACACACACACAACTTCAAGAACGGGGTCGCCACTCCTTACGTCATTTTATAACCCTTCTTCACCTCACTGTCTTGGTGCAACCGTTACCTCTCCACGCCCCCCGGCTCCTTGCTAACAAAATCATTTTCCTCAAGGTGGCCCTGAACCCTTCCTTGTTCATCTAAGCCAATGAGGAATCTTCCTCTCTTTCCCAGCATGCTTTGCTGCTAGTGGTGGGCATGCAACTGGGTCCCGGTCAATGAGGTCTCGGAAGTCTGATGCGGGGGTTGAAAGGGAGAAGACCCAGCCTGGGCAACTTCTCTCCCCCTTGCTGCCTTCAACACAGGGTTCAAGTGAAGGCTGGAGCTGCGTTGGCCATTTTATGACGCTGAGGTGCTGAGTACAAGAATAAATAACATGCTCAGAATACCGAACAGAGGGGTAGAGAGTTGGATCTGATGGCATGGCTGGAAAAGTAGGAAAAAAATGCAAGCCACTGACTGCCTGGTGTGTAGAAAACCCAGTTTGTTCAAATCACCATTCATCGATTTTCCTGTTTCTCCAGCCAAAGGTCTTCCTGAGCATTACGACTGTGAATTCCCACATCGGTCAATGTTTGCATCGTCACTTGTGATAGCTGCGTAGGACTCTGTGACCTGGGTTCACCATAATCCAACTTACACTGTACCAGAGCGCCTTACGCCCAGAACGGAATGACGAAGGATATGGCTCTGGAACCAAAGGGCCTGAGTTCAAGTCCCAGCTCTGCCACTTAGCCATGTGACGCCACTCATTTCCTCATCTGTAAGGTACCGGCGGCCTCTCACTTGGCTGTTGGAGGATGACATCAAGCGACTTCCTTCAAGCACGCGGAACAGAGTCTGGGACACTTGAGGGGGCAGGCGCGGCCTATCATACTTCAATCCACCACTTTCTTACAATAATGTCCTGAGTTTTTTTTAAAACATCTAACTCCTCACAGTTGCCCGCACCGAACCCAGAAAGGACAGAGCCCCAAGTCTCTTCGGTCCCAGGCCAGGGGGGACCAGTGTTTACCCCTGAAGTACAGGCAGGACATGCACAGCACTCTGCACGGACACCCAGGCCAGACAAGAGTGTGCATTAAAGGGGCATGGCGGGGCATGCAAAGGCAAGGCCGGGGCCCATGGGAACACGGAGGGAAGCTGTGGGACCTACAGGCGTCCCAGGGGAGTCTAGACAGGTTAGTCTCAAGAATGCGCCCAACACACATGCAAAGGGATGGACATGTTGGGATGTCATCAAGGGAACAGACAGGTATTAATAAGGGTCTAGGGAACTCTGGCCTTTGAGAAGGAAACCACACAAGGACAGCATTGTTCTGGAGAGAATACAGGCCCAAAATGTGTCTCAAAGAGAGGCTGTTTGAGTTTCCTAAGAGGGAAACAAGTCTTATATCTGTTCCAGATGAAAGCCAAACACAGGAGCTGCGCTGGAGAAATCAGACGTGTAAACATAGCCACAAAGAGCCCGGGGCCCGACATATGCCACCCGCACCTGTCAGGACAGCACCTTCTCCCTCCAGCTGAAAGGAGCTGTCAGGTCAGACCTGGTGGGTGGGGGGAGGGTGGCCCCCAGCGTCCGCAGGGGGAGGGGTGCTGCCACCTGCTAAAGGAACCTGCAGGCAAAGTGTTAAAAGTATGCAGGCCCGAGACCCAGGGACTCCCCCAAACCATCAGGCCATCACACAGGTACAGGGAAAGTCACGGTGACATTTCTAAGCGCCCCCAAAATACTGTCGGCAACTTAAAATACCCAGCACAGGAAACGTTGTGGGTATATCATCTCCACACGTTAGTTCCTGGGAATGCTTGGTGGCAGTGAAAAACTAGGAGGTGACGCTAGATCCATCTACATCACAGAGCTGTCAGACAATACTTTAGGGAAAAAGCAAGTATCAAAGCGAATATGGCTGGAAGCCACTTCGGTAGCCAGAGCTGACTTTCATCCATTTGCCTTTTAATGGGATTGGTGAAGTGGCAAACCCTGGTCCCAGGCGGCTCCGATGCCCACCCACGGGGCCTTTCAGCAACTGTTTGTTTGAAAGAGAAA